AAAATGAATTTTTCATCTCCTTCAAACAATTTCTTTTGACCAATTCATTAAATCAATAAATACTAAAATTCGTTCTCGAAACAGGAAGGATCATGAACAAAATTGCGTTTATTAAAAATGATATGTTATGAGTGAATTAAGCTGTTATTATTGACATTCAATGAGTTTTGGTGTTCTGAATTTTTTTAACAACAGAAAAAGCTGATTAAAAAAAAATGACACAGTAAGTCGCAGTGGTTTTTATCAGTCTTCAATTCTGTCTTCAATTTCAGTGATAATCGAATTTTTTTTTTTTTGACTAGAATTGATCCGAATGTTTTTATTCTATTCACTTGTGTGCGAAAAAGAGATTGATTCTATTGCAAGAAATTGGCCGATGTATGAAAAACAGAAAGAAAATAACAAAAACCGCTACTTTCTTTTAAAGTTATTTTCGTTCAAACCAATTTTTATTCGAAAAATTGAACGATTTGAATTGAAAATTTCGAAAGATCGAGCTTTTAATTGAAACTACTCCAAATGCAGTGGTTTCTTATTGTCTGGCCTTCTAAAAGCCGAAATTGACTGATCCCAATTCGGAATGTTTTGAATTTAAATTTTTCTATGGTGAGCGTACAATTCCACCGGTATCGATCTAAGAACATTTAAATCAAAATGTTCAATTTTTTATTGAAAATTAGTACAAAATATATCCCACAGTCACAAATGACACAAAATAATCATCACATCACTGAAGTTTGATATAACTTTCACAACTACATCGGCCAATTTTTGAACAGTATCAACGTTTTCTTGAGCGAATTTCACATATTTTTACCCGTTCAACACGACTGTGTGAAACTTCATAAGCCGCGGCCATGCTGCATATGCACAAAATGACAATAGCAAAAATAAGTGTGAATTTCATGTTGGCAATTTGAATTTTAACTGCTTCTTTTAAAAAGAACACTAAAAGTTGGTATTTTTTCGTATTATAGTTTTAATGTGATGTCGATCACGTCTGTTGAGCGATTGTTAGAAATTTAGTGTGCGCACATGGCTTTATACATTTCCGCATGTATCCGGTAGACGCAATAAGAAGTTGTTATTTAATAAATGTTGACGCATTATTTTGTGTTTGGTCATGTGTATTTCGGTACGAAAGCTTATCAATTTAGTTCAATTGTGAAGGAAGGACGGCATGCGATACTTTGTATAATTGACTCTATTTGTGTGAATTCAACATCTCACATAATTTGATTCAATTACACGATGAAACGTTTCGACAGCGGACATAACATAAACATTTACAAAATCATCGCATTATATTTGTTATGCACTACGTGCTCATTTGATTAAAAAATTAAACGATTTCGGTGTGAGTATTTCGTTTCAAAAACACGCGCGCTAATTGAATGAGCTGATTAAGTTAATTTAAGTTTGAGTAAAATAAAACAAACAGAATTCGGTCAGACAGCAAACCAAGTTGGCACTGTTTTTTTTTGTGAGGCACACGAAAATAAACATGATATTTATCACGTGTTAGCAATACTACGATCGAGCAGTTGATTTTGTGAACGAAAACATACGGAGCCAGCTATCACAATGTTAGACAAGTTTAATCTCAATTGTATTAATGAACAATTTTAATCAGACACTTTTTTCGTCGTTTATTCTTTTATTTAATCACATTTTCCGGTCGAATGTACTTAACTCAATCGTTCAACACAACAAACGCTCCGCATATTTTCGACTGAAAATGGACTGTCATTGAATTTAAATAAATGAAATCCATTCAATTTAGAAAATGAAGATCGTAAATAAAGTGTATGTATAGCCCGTAACCGAATTATATTCGTCTCTGGTGTATTGTTATGTCTAATGCTATTAATTTTGTTATCATTTTTATAGATTACCATATGAATAGAAATATGTTTTCGTCAATCCCATACAAACGAATACAAAATTCACATTTTTGTACTTAAATTGTTTTTAAGAAGAATTTAGTGAGAAAATAAGATCGACTTCATATTAATAGAAATCAATAAAAACAGCACATTTTTTGCTTATGATTTTTGATTATAACATTAAACACGTATTTTGTTTGTGTTAGCATTTTTTAGCTCGACTAGGGTTCAATAAGTGTTCGAGAGCGGAAGATATTTCGAAAGGATGGAATTCTTTTTTTTTGTTTTAAAGATACGTCGTTTTTACTTACGTCTTTCTGACATCAGAGAAATCACGTATTTGGGTTGTGATGTTACCTGGGTACAATCCGATCAACAGCCAAATTGGAGTTGGAGAAAGAATAATTGAGAGCAAATAAGCATAAAGAAAACACATCGTCGTTCTTCGATAAAGGTTAAAAAAATAGCTGGAAACTTTAATTTCAAAAATTAATTTTGTTGACGTAGCCAATTACAAAAATGCCAAAATTGTCTTTGTTGAGTTGAGTTTTAAAACCGAATTGAAATTGAAACTGCTGAGTTAGTAAAAAAATTGGCAATATAATTTGGAAAAAAAATAACAGTAATAAGCAGAGTATTGCTCAGCGCTGCTGCCATCCAGAGCATATTAAAATATCTTGCTGAGAATGCGTCGTCCGTCGCATGCGAACGTACGTACCAGTTTATACATCACAGCGAACAAGAATGAATCCATTGTTCTCTTCACGATTATGTGACTCAAAACATTCAAACGATTGAATAGAGAACAATGCATGTATTGTTGTTCGCTGTGATGTATAAACTGCTACGTACCTTCGCATGCGACGGACGACGCATTCTCAGCAAGATATTTTAATATGCTCTGGATGGCAGCAGCGCTGCGCAATACTCTGGTAATAAGTATATATAATTTTCAGTTCATTTTTCACTCAAATTGAACTGAGTTAGGGCTCAGGACATTCGTCGTACTCGGTGATTTTCACGTGTTGATTAAATAAATTGAAGAGATTCAAATCTTGAAAGCAAACAAACATCCCGCCTCTTTTTATGGTACTTATCGCTCTATTCAAGTCTCCCATGCACAACACAAAAGGCGACGGTCTCCTCACGCCCACAATCTTTGTAACGATCCATTTGGAGTGATCTTTTGTTTGGGGAATCGTGACCCAAGAGGAACCATCATGAATTAAGATTTTATTGACGTTTTCCACGGTTGGACTGTCACAGTTGGACGGCAAAGCGTTTTTTCGGTCCCGGGACCGATCAAGCCACGTCTGAGCAAAAATTGGTGACTTGTAGTGATTGGCCAGCTTCTGAAAACAGTCCTCGAACACATCTGAGCGTGCAAATGAGTAAAGAATGCTGTACCCGTAAGGTGAGCTGTATGGGATTGGCGAGTCGTATTTGTTTTGGTTTCCTGGATGGGTCAAATTTTTGAACTTATACCGGACGCTGATCGGCCACATGTCCATATGGACGTTTGCGCCGTACACTTGTGGTTTGAAGGTTTTCATCATCGTTAACAACGACTCCATTTCTGTGATGAATGCGTTCGGGTACGATTGTGACGTCACACACACAAGCATCTGAGCATAAAGTATAACAGTAATAAGTAAATGTAATTTTCAGTTCATTTATAATATATTTTGTTCAATTGTTCATGTATGAACAACTGACTCGAATTGAACTAAGTTAGGGCTCAGGACACTTGTTGTAATCGATGACTTACCTGAGCGTTAGTCCTACCGCTTTCGGGAAATTTGTACGAATAGTAGTCTGGGTCCGGTGGAAATCTTGGCACAGAATGGGACAACAGGAAACCGCCAGTTGACGAGTAGGCTAATATCCCTTTTGAGTGGCCAAACGAAGCGGAATCTTCCGTATGCACGCCTTCATTCTCGTTTGACTGCTGCAACGACTTGGAACCATACGGTAGGTCGTCGTTCCAGAAGATGTACGTGATACTGCTGACTTGCTCGTAGAGCGGCAACAACGTTCGGCCAACAATAGATCTTGGATGATCGATCGGATACTGACCAGTACTGACCATGGTTGGACCTGCTGTCATCCGTGAAAAGTAGACATACTGAAAACTGTTGGGTAACTTGTACGCGATAAAGTAATCGAGCCGCTCGCCATTTTCGCCATAGCAGGACGCCGGAAGAGCGCATTTCTCACCGTACCACACGACCCCAAAATCAGAAAACAGCCTTTGCTCTATCCCAAGTTGTGACGAAGCCAGCCGGCCGTCGTTACGGTTAAAGGTTCTCCCATTTATCGTACATACCATCTGATTTGTGACACTGCCACACTGCTCTTCGCATTCTGACAAGTACGGCTTAGAACGGCAGTCGCTAGTGATTGTTGGTGGACGGCGACATACTCTGTGTTTGGCTATTAACGATAAACCCATTAATGTATTACATATGCCGGTCGATATTTGGTATCCTTTAGCGAATGTGAATAATCGAATGGTGTGTCGGCCACGACCGCTGTACAAATCTGCTAAATATCCAAGACTGCCCAGATGAATTGGGCTTGAAACAAGGCACTGACTACCATCCCTGATGACATGCAAAGTAATTTAATACATCTCTTGAAAAAGTTGTTGAACATAATAAACCGGACACTTTCATCATTTTTACCTGGACAAGTGGTACCGAGGACAAGTGATTTGCGAACACTGGATCATGGACGCTATGTACGTTTCGACGGCTTTGTGGTGCAAACACCACGGAGAATAACAATCCATATCTTCAATGTCAATATCCAAGTGTCCTACTCAAAGTCGTTTCATTAAAAAAAAAAACACTCATACATCACGATGAATTCACACAAACCAATGAAAATTATTTTAATTTACCCGCATCTTCTTTCATTCCCAACACGGGACTAGCGTGAATGACGTCAACGAATTCCGCGTCTGTTGCACGCAGAGTATTAGTCCTGTTCACTTCGAACATCCCGAGGGGGTATTCAAAAATCGGACCTGCCGGATCGAGTGCAGATATCCGGTCGATGATCCTTATTCCGAGGTCTTTCAGTTTTCTTGCCGCCATGCCCGATATCTGACCACCAAGACTGAAACCTGTTATGTAAAAATTACAAAATTTATGATTTTAAAACTAAACGACGTTTTATACGAAATATAAGAATTTATACGTTTTTTCGTATAAATTTAAAATTTATACTCTGCAGAGTATAAAAATTTATATAGAATCCTTTGTAATAAATCTTTAAATATTTTACCATGAACGTAGTTTCAAGAAAAATTCAAACTGAAAGTATCAAATTTACGCTGTTCTAACCATAAAATTGTAAGGCAGATTCAGCAACAAGTTGTTGCTAACAACCAATTTACGATTACGTTAATAAAAAAGTACCAAATGCAACGCCAAAACTACGCGCGACGCGTATCTAATACGATGATGCGACAATCAAAATGGTGATGCGGTGATTTATGACTTTCTTGCAGATTCAATGCATGCAATTTACGTTTGCTATGTGCCTCCTTAAATGTGATTTCGTCTCTTCAATTGTATTGAAGTTTCCGATACGATTTGGATTTCCAAAAGAGTCTTTACACCCTCAAAGTATTTTAACATTCCTATAGAGACTAAGGCCTGCCAGAAAGACCGCTCTGTTCAATAAAATTTATTGCGTTTTTTATTCAAATTTACTCAGCTCACGTCGGGAAGAGAGAGAGTTTGGTTCAATATCACAATTCGTCTACTTGACGTTTGCCATTTTAATATTATTACTATTCTTTAAAAAAAATCAACATATCAAACCTATGAAGTGAACTTTAACGTAGATTGGAATATAGTCATTCACGAAGTCAACCAGAAAGTCGGCCACACGCGGGAGGTTATTCTCCACGATGTCTTTGTAGTCCTTTGCCACATGGTACGGCCAATGCTCTGACCACCATCCGTGATCATAAAATGCTCCGTCAGTCCAATCAACGATCAATACGCAGTCAATGTCATCAACGCCCGCGGCGATAGCGTCTTTCATGGCAATTCCGTCGTTCAGATCGTTCGTTCTGAAACCGTGGATGTAAAAAGCGATTTTTTTCATAAACTTAAAAATCACAGTATTTCCGTCCAATTTCTGATCCGGCTGGGAAGTCTTGTACGCAATTATATCTAATTTAAATTTTTTTCCTTCCTCTAATGTGGCAATTTCGTTTGAATAATTTGCTATCTTCACGTTTTTTGTATTGATGTATTTGATCGTGGTGGGAACGTCGATACTCCACGGTCTGTTCCAATGAGAACAATCCTGCTCGTCCGAACCATCCCAACAGTCGTCGTACCCATCACAACGCGAATATTGCGTTACACATCTATTATTTTTACAGTGAAACGTATTGGGTCCGCGGCACTTGGCACAATTTTCTTCGTCCGAACCTCCGTCCGTGCAGTCAACTATTCCATTGCATACACGTTCTTCCGGAATGGGGTCACTTTCTTGACAATTGATTTTTCTTCTGGCCTCCCAATAATCGTCGTCTCCAAATAGGGCGGACGATGAGTGCAAAACGACCATCAGAATGCACAGCACCCATTTAACGAGTCCGACGGTAGTTTTCATAATATTTTTTAGTGTTTGCCTATAATAATGTATTTATACTTATTTTTGTCCGATAACAACACCAATTTTTAAATTAATTCAGAATGATTTTGGTGTCATCGGTGAATATTCAAACGGGCACAAGGAGAGGATTCAGACGAACACAATGGAAAGATTCAAAGGGACAGACGGAATATGATTTCCATGATGTGATCCATAGACGAATATCGACGTGATAATAACTTTGTTGCAACAATACTATTTAACAAATATGAGGTCTCTTCCGTACTCAAACAACAATATGTCTTGATATTTTTTGATAATCGCTTATTTAAATTTCTTGCTTATACTTTTTTGCTTGTTGAATTTTTGCAAATTGTACAAATCCTTATTTGAAATTTGAAGTTTGAAAAGATCTTGGTTCTTACCGGGGGATCGCCACTCTTTTTAACTCTCTCTCTAATTGAAACTTTGCAATGTAACTGTCGGCCAGTTTTAGTAGACATTAGAACTTAATAAGTAGTAAATGAATGAATAAATGAGAAGAGTATGCGTTGAAACGCAATATATTTTATCTCTCATTCGCCCTAACCTTGAACCTAATCTATGATTATAATCATGAGTTGCATTATAATGCATATTTTTACTTATTTTTTATTTCATCGCTGAGAAAAGTTAGATGTCTTACGTTTCTCTTCCGCTATTTTATGAATCAAGCTTAAATTGCAATCTTTGTCGATCACATACAGGGTGTCTCATATAAGTGGGCCACTACTGAGGGTATAATTTTCCAGTTTTTCTTCTGTTGGTATAATTTTTAAAAGTCTGCTCCGATAGAAATTTAGGAAATAAATTTCTACGAATTTCTATCGGAGTAGTTTTTTGAAAACTATATCAACAAAAGAGAAAAACAAAATTTATACCCTCAGTAGTGGCCCACTTATATGACACACATTGTATGATCGATGTCCCGAACAACCCGAATATTCGAATGTGACGAAATTACCGATGTTTTTACAAGACCAAAGTAATCACATACAGATTTATTCAAACATCAATTTAATTATATCTCGATAAGCCGTTATATTTGTTGCGATTAATTTGTGATTCTTATATATAAAACATTGAGCTCAAAATTTGAATGAAGTTTGAGTCATTATGTCTTATTAGGTGATTGTAAGCTATTTGTTGCATCTAAAAGTATCTTCGACTGATCTCACATTTTACACTCAATCCATATCGAACTTACCTCTTTCACTCCACACAAGTGGAGAAGGTCATTACGATGGAGCCATTTTATCAAAAGCTTTGCTTTTACATTTTGGATATCAAAGTTTCGCATGTATGGAGACTTTAAATGAAAGATCTGTGGAGAGTTGAAAGGAATTTCTTTTGGTGTCGCAATTTGTTAATACCGGAACTTTCAAAGTCTTGCAAAAACACCCACCGAAGACTCCAATCGAATTTTCGTCAATCCAAGCCAAAATTTCTCCAAATCAAACTATTGCATTCACAACTGAGCTTCTAAAAATGAAATGCACTCACAAATGAAAATCGTAACATATTCACTTTGTTTTATTTCACATTCAAAATGTGTCACTTTTCCGAAAACCAGTGTCACATATAGAATTTCATACAACAAATCCATTAGATGGATGATTAGATATTCGCTTAAAATCAATTTTATTATATATTTAACAAAATAGCATAAAAAATCACGTTCAGATGCAACCATTTCCCCAGCATGCACACCACGGTATTTTTCCGCCCGATTTTGAATGTGATGTGATTGAGATTTTTCGTCGTGACGTTGACTGTTGGCTGATATTTCCAAGTGATTCACGTGATGAATTCAAATTATTACCAATAGATGAACCGCTTGATCCGCCCAAATGCATTCCACCATTGCAAAAATCACCGCAATAACCATCGACACCTATTAAAAACCAAAATTCCAATAAAAAAAATTCAATAAAAATGTTCGAAAGTTCAATTACCCAAATGGTTATTTTGCATTTGACCGCGATGACAATGGCATCGATTGGACGGTTTTGCCATCAATGCATAATCCAAATGATATTGAGTGGGTCGTGTTGCTATGATACCATCTGAATGTCTTCGCGATAAAAACGATGATCGTCGACCGCGCTTATGCGAACTGAATGCAAATGGATTTGGCGGATATAAAAATGTTCCAATTTCATCGACTTTTCGACTGCACGATGTTCGACGCGACCGAAGATATGACATTGGCGGTATTGCAAGTAATTCGTCTTCAGTTAAATCGGTTGAATTTAAATCAGCATCATTGGAATGTGGCTCAGTTGCATCAAGTTGATCGGTTATTGGTTTTCCATTGAATTGAATCGATACACGTGGCGCATCTTTTATATTTTCATGGGAATTCTTTGAACTTGTACCGGTCTCTTTCTGCAAAGTAAAGGGTAAGTCATTTAAGCGTTTCTTACAAAAAATAAAGTTTTTTTTTTTAATTATTAAATTCGTGAAGGTCCCGAAATTAAGGAACGTGTGGATACTCAACTCACCGATTCCTGTGAATCATTTGAATTTCTCTGTTTTGATTTTGACGTCGATTCTTTACTTCCGTTCGAAAGGACACTGTCTACATTCACTCTGGCGTCTCCAACAATATTTCTCTCTTCTTTAATGTGTTTGTTTCCATTCGATTTTTTTTCATTTGTTTTCGAACATGCCACGTGATTTCCTTGAGATTTTAAGAGAATCTCTTCATTTGCTGAGTTTTCAGTGTTCAAGACTTCTTGTAAATTGTTGGTGCTTTGTGAATTCGTTGGCATTTGTTTCAACATTTCATTTGTGTATGTCAATTTATTCGGAAGAAGCTTCATCGCCTGTGGAACATTTGTCGGCGATGCATCATTGTCAGAGTCAGGTTTTTTATCCGAATTTTTCGTCGTTGAATATTTCGACTTGTTTCCGCTGTATGATAGAACCAAGCTCATTTCTGTGCGATAGGGAGGCGTTTGATCAGAGTCACTACTCGTCACATTCTCATAAACAGCATTCGTTTGCATTTGCATCGTTTCGATACCTTTGGATATGTCTTGAACATCTTTGAGAGCGAGCGTCTGGAATTTAAGAATTAAAAATTAACAATTTGGACCTTTTGAAAGTAATCTTTGATCGACTGCAGATATGGTATATATTTTCGGCTCTCGGAATTTCCATTTCAAGGTGTCATCGTAAGTCCGAAATGAATCAATTCAACTGCTGTCCGTATGAGTGTAAAAGTAAAGACTAGCAAAAGAAGCGGCTCCGGTCAGACTATGCAAGCTAAGTACTCGCGGCAAGTGCAATTCATTTTTTTTTTGCCATTCGTCTCTTTTGCTCTCATACAAACCACAGCTCACCAACTTAGATTCTCCCTTGTATATTTCGTCGGTTTGAAAATATACCACAGATATGCTTACCTCCGAATCAACGCTGGCTGCATTCAAATTACTTGGATACTTGAGTGGATTATGTGGTTTTCGAATGGTTGCCACTCGATTTCCATCGGACGGTACAATGTTATTGACAAAAACATCTGGTCGTAGTTCCGAGCACATTGAAGCTTTTCGTTTGCTTTTCAATGGCGCAAAGAAATACTTTGGCATTGGTTTATCTATTTCATTGATCACTTCATCTTGAACGATATGTCCTTCTTCGGTCAATGTTGGCGGTGGTGGAAGGGGTAAAGAGGTACTTCGTCTGCGGAAGGAACAGAAAATCGGTCAGTTTGAAGTGAACAGGTGATTTAAGTACAAAAACCTGTTAATAGGAGGTGCAGACGGCAGAGGAGGCGATGGGGGAGGTGGAGTTGGTTCGTTCGCTTGATACATTTCACCGTCAAATTGGATTTCACCAGAGGAATCTGCAGAAACATTTCATTTCATCAACATTACTTATTCCAAAAAGACAGACCTTTCACTTGAAGGGAACTTTTTCAAATGTTAAAAATTTCAAATGCAAAAACATCTTACCAATATTCGGTCCAATGTCTTTATACGATAAATTTTCAAAGTGTTGCAATGGTGGGACTGTCGATTGAAAATTAGTGTATATCGGATCTTGAGCGATTTCATTTGGTTCGTTGTCTGTTTTACAATTTTGATTCGTTTGATCATCACTATTCGATAAACATTCCTCCGAAACGACGGACAAATGATCGAAATTCATATTGATTTTGTCATTTCGTATTGGCGTTGGCATTAAAGCTGGACCAGTTTTATTCGATTTTATCACACCATATCCATTGTGTGTTTTGTCACCATTCATTGATGTGGCCGGCTTTTGGTCGTCAAATTCTTTTACACAATGCTCGTTATTATTGCACATATCACAGGAAACATTGTCCTGAAATTCAGAAAATGTGAACATTTTATTTGATTTTTTTCTGGAAGAATTCAAATCACTCTTTCGTAATGAAAAAAAAAGTTAACAAAAAAGACGTCAATCAGTACTTACATCGTCAACAAGGCAGCCGCAACATCGATATGAATCATTGTAGTCACACCCAAGTTTTGGATCATGAAAATCGTGTGAAGCGTTTCTGTTTGAATGGCCGTTCGGTTGGCTTTTGTTCTTCAATAATTTATCCAAACGATCATACTCGTCACGTAGTGTCCAGTTTTCCGTTCGCAATCGATAATTCTCTCGAAGAAGTTTCTTTATATCCGACTGTCCTAAAACAGATGGTTCAAATGTGCACAACACACAATTTTTCTCTTTAGTTTTTCGCACTTAAATCGAATGTGTATTTTTCAATTAAATTTATTATATTACCTCTCTCGACTTCTGCATTGATATTTATTGTGCGTAGTCTAAGCTCTTCATTCTCGTATATCATGCCACGCGATGATTTTCGGTCCAATCTATAGTGGAAATGAAATGTTCATTTTAGAAATTCGACACGGTCATTAAAATGGTTTTACTATTCATAAAATTGGCAATAAAATGGAATTGTTTCACAGTTTTGAAATGTGTGGAGAGTAAAAAAGTCACACATTGTCTGTACGTGCTGAGTGGGAAAGTGATACTTTTTCGTCGAATTAGATTCGATCGTTTTTCAGTGTTTGTTTTGATTCTCTTTTTTTTCAGAGCGTGACACAGAATTTAAACGTTCGTTCGAGAGAAAATTCGGCATGAATTTTAAGAGGAAAGGAGGAGAAAAGGAACAAGTTTCAAATGAAACATCTTTCAAAATAAAAGATTCAATTCACGACAAAGTTCGAGAGAATGAACCACTTTTTTGCGCCTACATCCAGTGAACAAGGAGAAATTATTCTCTTGAAATACTCTATTTTGTTGAAATAACGAAAAAAATACTTTCCCCTTACACACTTGGTGTGTGCTGAAAAGTAATAGGTCGGACCTTTTTGATCCTTTTAACCTGAAAATTCTTCCGAACCTTCGTTAGCCTGTTTCTTTTCACTTTGGACTTAAAATCGTTAAATTCCGAGAGATATTTTCTCGAAATTTCAAATTCTTTCCTTTTCTTCTTAGCGTATCACTTGGTCATGCTTTGAGTTTTTCAAACGATTTTTTCTGACGATTTTTTTTTTTTCATTTTTCTTCTTGTTTTAATTTTCGCTTTCAATTTTCAGCAATTAGAAATTTAATATTAGTTTTTCCACACAGAACCACTTGCACCGACCCCATTCAAATTCATGTAAAAGTATTCAGATTTGCTCGAAATTTTCACAAAACCAATAGAAATCGTTCACAAAAAAAACTCTCAAAGAATGTGATTCAAACCGAAAATGATGCAAAGCCATTGTGCGTCAAAATAGAATGTGCCAAAAGCACTTGAGCATCAAAAGAAATGTGCAATTAACAATTAAACCAAACACTTGACATTTAAAACGAAAAAAAATATGAAAAAGATCAAATTAAAAAAATTGCTTCAAAAGAAATAAAAACGGAGCCGCTCAAAAAAAATCGCAAAAGGTTCCAACAAACCTTTCGCGACTAAATTTTAAATTCGATGGATGACAACGACGCCCAAAAAACTATATATTTCACACAAATAACTCGTTTTTGCGTAAACAAAAAAAAACTATGTATAAATAAAAAAAAACGATTCACCGATAAAAGCGATGACCTTTTATTTGAGCGACTAGTGTTTTTCTTCTCTTTTTTGCTGTTCAAATCACAATTTAGCACATTTAACAACGTTGATAAATTCAACGCTTGAGAATGACGCAGATTTATAGAGTTCAAGTTCTCTGTTAATCCCAGGGCTTCAATTCAATACTCAATCACATCGAAATGAGCGAGAAAAACAATCATAACACCGATTACGTACGAAAAGAAATGAAAATTGGTTGATTTTTTTGTTGTTGTGAAAATGTCCGTGACATATAACTAGATATGTTGAAATACCGTAATAAATATAAAAAGTCGTCGTCGAACACCGAGCAATACACACATATGGCACAAATGACAGCAACGATAAATACAAAAAGCGAAAATCCGCGCGATTTTCCCAGTTTATCATCAGAGTCGTCGCTCTATATCTACTTCGATTTAAAGTTTATCGACGTGGATTTATGGTGTTATTGAAATGTTATTCGACTTAATTAAAAGGCAATATATATTGAACGTTTATTTTTATTTTTCACAACACGAGAATAAAATAAATAGATCTATATTTCGGTTATAGTATGCGCTCGCGAATGGGATCCGCTTATTCACTCTCAACCCGAACATATGCTGAACTAAGAATAAAACGGAAAAACGATGCGTAGATCGCGATTGCCAAACACAAATCATTCGGATCACACAATGATCGGTCGTTTTGGTGCGCTCAGCGAGAGTTTTGTATATATTTGTCGTACGGTCAGTGGCAAAATGCACGAGCATTACACAAAGGAGAAATGTTCTATTTATAAATGTGGTGGCCGCTTCGATGAAATGCGAGACAAGGAAAACCGTATGCACCGTGTGGAAATTGACAGTGCATCGCATTTGTAATAAATTCAGTGGAATGACATCGATGCTAGTCACTCACAATGATACACAATCGCATACATGCACAAAAGAAAAACACGCACGTACACAACGCAAAAGACGAGAATTCAACGTAAGAACCTTCAACATTAGCGCCTATCTCTATCACACTCACAACACATAGCCTAAATTTGGAAAATCATACGAAATTTTTTCATGTTTTTGACTGATGCTCTTGTTTTTCTTCCCGATTTTCTTCCTAAACGCGCATCTTTGATGTGAAAACACATGAACAAAGAACAAGTACACATTGTAAATCAGTTTACGACCATTTTAATTTCGATTTTTTTCGCGTGAATGTGTTTTTTTCGTGTGTGGAGCTCAAATGCATTCGATGAACTCATTTTCATGCTTATCACTTGCAATTCCGTCTGTTTCAACGATTGTGCCGCGCAATATGCTTTGGAGCAATGAAAAATCGAGTGACGTCGATGGATCGGTACGCTATTTGATGTATTACAAAAAGCGCTGTTTGGTGTATTGGGCAGCGAGAAAATATAATGATGTTTTTTTGAAGTCGTTTAATTGAAGACAAATCGATGTTTTGACAACAGTTTAGGCGTGGCAATTACAGCGGTTTTTTTTAATCGTACAAACACATGTTTTTTTTCGTGACATCATTTTTTTCAAGTTTTTTTTTCTTTTCATGACTTTTTTCGACTTTTACAATTTTCATTCGACTCATACGAACATCGGCTCGAAAACATCAGTTTCAACATTTCCCTATGTTGATATCTTTACGATGATTCTCCTCCGATGGTTGTTGTTTTCTATTTTTCGACTTTTTTCAAGTGTTTTTCTCGATATTTTTCCCTTTTTTCGACTTTTCCATTTTTTCTCCACACCTTTTCTCATTATTTCGTCAATTTTCTCACATTTTCGTCAAATCATCACCGAAAAAAACATGAAATAAGAAAAAACGTGCAATAGCACCGACTCACTTTCGATTGGGTTTAAAGTTGGCATGTTTTCGGCGTTCTCGTAACATGATTCAACTGCTTTTTCGTTCGGCTGCACTTGTCACAAAAAAAATTTGGCCGTGGTCGATAGTATTGCAAACACGTGAAACCAAAATAAAATCGCTATTTTAAATTCAAAGAAGATTTTATTCATCAAAATGCATTTCACAGCTAAACAAACAGTAATATGTTTGTATCGTGCATTCTTTTTACGTCACTGATCGATTGATGTGTTTTAAGTTTTTCACACATTTTTCCACACTATTCAGACACGGACCGTCGTTCATCAATCATATTTGGCCGTAATAAAATTTCACCCGAAAAAAAAAAACACAGCACTTAATCACTTTTATTTGGCGAAACAAGAAAAAACAGCACGATAATGAAAATGATTGATGCAACTCGCAAAAATTTGCAGCAATAATTTTAACGATTATCTCTCCGTTGCGTTTGTCTCTCGTTTTAATGGAAATCGAGCAGAAACTAGCCAGATGCGCACAAATCGTTTTAATCCAAATCCTCGATTGAAACGAAATGATCGGGTACCGTTTCGTTTTAAGGCCGAACTTATGCACCGCAACAACCGATCGTGTCTGTTCCATTTTATATTCATTTTTGGTTCCGCTGCCGAGATTATGATCTCGTTATGGTTCTCTCACTCGTCTGTCTCGGTTTTGTGTATTTCCAATCCGGACTCCCTTTTTTTTCTCTCGCGTAATTTCACATCTATCGGTTTCTGCTTCTTCTTCTTGTTTGCCTTGATTAACGTATACATATCGAGAACCGATCAACCGCGCCAGATCAAAATAAAACGCTCGAACTATCTTTATGGCATTCTTTGCATGCTTTCAAGTCGCCGTTTGTACATGTTTTTTTCGTTCGCGGTTCATTCGTTACTCATCATGATTGAACTTTTGAATATGCTGTTGACGAACACTTTTTGCGCGATGCGCCGGATTTTTTTTTTGAGGCTCGCGCATCGCACGGGCGCACGTTTACTTGTTACACCATTTTTTTTAAACACATGATGTATACAAGGGAACAGATAAACATGCCTCATATAAAAATAAATATCACACTCTTTCCATACACGAGTTCACAAGTCGTTGTCTGGTTATTGTTCGAAATTCGATAACAATTGACCGCGGTTACGATTCGATTCTTTTTTCATTATTCTGACTCATTTTCTCTTATTGTTTTCGTAGAATGGAAGTTTTGAGCAGATTAAATGGATTTTGTTACATTCGCATCGTTTTTCTCAATCGAAACGTGTCTGTTACATTTTACGACCGCGGTTAAGACATTTTCAATTACACATTACACATTTTACCTTGGATCTTAAATAAATACATTTTCGATCAATTGAGTTCATTGAACACAGAATTTCATCAATTTGATCTGATTGATTTTTTACGCACAAGTTCTATTTCTGATCAAAGAAATTTGTCATCGTCTATCGTGATCACTGCGCATCAAAGACGTTTGAATTAAACAACCGGCATAAAATCGAATTCAACGAACATCAAATGCCGTCAAAGTGTAAAAAAAGGCAAACGATGCCAGCTTTTTTCGATCGGTAGGTAAAACCTTTCATTTTCAATCTTTGCCAAGGTTCCGCCATCTGTTGGCGAATAGATTTTTTCGAAACTTTTCAAAGGGCTTTAACCACTTGTTTACCAGCGGTACGTGCTTGCCACTTTGAATTTGTCTTTTTTCGGCTTTGATCACAGATTTTTTCTTTAAATTCACCATAAATCACAATTCAAATTCACTTATAAACTGAACACTTTTTTTCTAGATTCAAAAATATTTTTTTTTTTAAATATAAAACAGAATGATTCTTTTCAAATAGATCACTTTTTGACTGAACGAATTTCGAATATAGCAAACGATCGATGTATATACGGGTCCCGTGTTTGTGTGTCGCAGGTTACTCGTGTATTAGTATGATTTCTTGCGTCGTCAACTCCGCTTGAGTTATCACGAAACGACAACGACGCAACGGATTGTGATTTTTTTACACTATCGCTGTTCACATTTTTTTTATGGCGTCGTATGAGTCATATCGTCGGGCTACACCTAATTTTGGAATGGAAATTTCCATAGACGATGAAGTGCAACAAAATACATTGTTATGTAATGCAGAATAAATAAAATGACTAAATAATAGAAATTCTTCGAGAGTCGAAATCTTGATTTTTTTCACGTAAAAATAACCAATTTTTAAAACACATACACCAATTATCATTGAATTTTGCTATTTTTTCTTTTGAAATCACCTTTTTTTGACTTTCTTTTAATTTTTTGTTTTCGATCATTTTAATAAGGAATAAATTCACGCTTTTTTCCATTTCAATCGTTTTGGAACTTTGATTTTTTTCAATAAGCTGCACTTTTATGTTTTTGAACATTTTGACTTTAACAAAGAAAATACAGACGGAAATCAAGTTGCTGACTTCAACTTCAAATGATTCACATAAAATGATCGTAAAATCGTTTTGCTGACGGAGTCACTATACGTAGCAACTTTTCAGTATCAATAAAATGTTAACCCTCTATCAGCTTAGAGTGCCTTCATGCAGCCTTTGAAAAAGTGTGCCCAATCGTGGAACATTTCTAAAATTCAGATTCTAGTATATGCTTAAAGTGTCGTTATTAGTTTTTTTAGCTAAATTTGTTGATTTTTATTTATAATTGACTGTTTTCAATGCTAGAAATGTTATTACAGGTTCAATTTTTTCGGATTCGGACCTGGCTGTTAAAGCGTTAACTTTCACATGTATAACTCTGTGCAATGTGCATGTATTGAAATAAATAAGACTATAACATGTGAAGTCGGTACAACTACACCCGCATTGTGGTGAAATCATGTTTTGCGACTTCTCTTTCGCTTCTTTTGAGCTATTTTATTTCTGTTAAGTTTGTATATGTTGTTCGCATTATCGTTTGGTTCACATTTTTTTTTGTTTCGAAGTTACATAACAAGCTATCAACAGGACATTCGACTGAATACGAAAAGTTAATTTTAAAAACAGAGATCGACCGCAAACAATTTGTAATATAAAAACTCACGTAAGTGAAATAGACAAAAAAAAAATGTTAAAACTAAAATCTTTCCCTACACAGTAGCGGCGAAAAATTAAAAGATTTGTTTAAATGGACAGCCAGACCGTTCGTTGTTCTTCATTACATATCCCAAATTTCGAAACATTTAATGGAATTTATGCAAAATACAAAATGCACTTTAAAAAATCTGCTTCTTCATGTGCTTCGTTTTACAAAGGATTCATTTTAAATTTTCTCGCTCAAATGAATAAACTTCTGACCCATATATATATGTATTATGGTTCACACTGTGAACTTCACAGTTGATGATGTCATTCGTTGCGCATATTATGCATGTAATTTAAAAGTTTGTTTTTTTACAAAGAAAAGAATAAACAGCTGAGATTCGAACGAAGAAGTTACATTTATAATGAACTGTGTCACATACGTATACAAACACATCTTTGATCGTACGCATTTTTACAGCGGTTTGTTTATCAATTTATTTGTATTGCTCCACTTATAATGGTCTTGAACTTGAAAAATACGGTGACATATTCAAACAATCATATGTTCGATACGAATATACGATCATCTATGGGAGTTACAAGTGCTACTGGATCATTGTGTTATTCCAAATATTTTTTCACTGTTTCTATAAACCATTTTTCTACGGAGAAAAATCTTTGCGCATGGTTGTGTATTTGAATGATTGGAACCGATTGGTAGCAAACAGAGACTGTTTCTCAGAGCGACCTTTTTCACATATATTAAGGAACAGTCTCTGGTAGCAAACGATTATTATTAATCTCTGAAACTTCGAAATCGGATTTGGTTTCTCACTTTCAAACACTTTTCCCTTGCACATAAAAAAGAAAAAAGAAAGATAAAAGAATGCTATCTAATGATTTCGTCGCCATTTTTTGAAATCTACACCTTCATTAGATTAGAGCTATAGACTAGCGATAAGATATTGTGTTTGTTTTGTATTACGAATGAATAGAGTGCTACGCCTACATTTTGGCTCGGTTTTCAACTTATTCAATGAAGCGACGAGATCAATTTACTTCGTGCCTATATAAATAGCTCATCTTTTCCCATTGGTTGAAAGAGCTGCTATCAACCAAACATCTGCCTTAAAATTTATTCATACGGAACGACTCAGCAAACGGCATTAATTTACGCACATCCAATCGGACTGAAATATATGGAAAGCCTCCGTATAGAGGCACGTATGTGCTCTGTATAGCGGCAGCGTGCGCTGTGCGTTCATCAAATGATACCCATTATAAATATATTATGGTATCTACCATTGACGGGAACTTGCTATGGTCGATGATTCTTACCTGTTCCATCATCATTACAACTTTTTTACCTTCTTTCTTGTGTTACCTTTGTTATTTTAACTGGTAGGGGAACATAATTGCTGCATGAAGAAGACTGTGATTGGATGAATTTAACACAATAAGAAGAAAATGTGTACAAAAGCGAAATAAAATGGTGTATTCAAGTTTTAACAACACAAAATACTTTATTATTTGAGCAGCTTGGCTAATTTTGTTTCAGAATATATATAAAAAAGTTAAAAACGTTTAGAACGAATCGAATTCAAAGGCATTTTTCTGCTACATTTTTCTTTATAAGTACTCTTGTGATGATAAGATGATCAAAATAAATAAAATTATGATATAAATTAGATAAAAAAAGACATTCGTTGAGATTTTCGAAGTCTTAATGTGATTTGTTTTGCGAACGGACCCGATTCACTTGTTATTAATACTTGTATTTAAAATACGACGAAGTTCGTCATAATTTGGTCTACCAGTCCACGGCATTTCGAAAATGTGCCGAAGGAACTTTGAAAATGGTGGTGGTAACTGCTGTAGTAGTGTTTTTTCACCTTTACGCAATTTTAGTTGTTGAAAGTAGCATGATCTCGGAATGTTATTTTCAATGTCTTTCCAAGGGAGCTCGCCAAGGAGTAAAAAGGCAAGAACATATGCCAACGATTCAAGATCGTTGCGAAATGAAACAATCTTTGAGTGCGCCCCCAAACTCATAAACATTGCTGTTCCAATGTATCCATTTACTTCTTGGAGCAAATTTTCATTACTAATATGTCTTGTCAAACCAAAATCAATCAGGTAGATATTCGATGAATTTTGATATCCGGTCACAATGTTGTTCAATTTGATGTCACCATGAACAAATTTTTTTTCGTGCAGTGTTTGTAGTATGTTAATTACCGTTATTCCCATCTTTGCAATGGATTCCGTGGATTTTAATTGTTCGGGCGTTTCTTCATAAACTGTTGACAAAGATGGACCCAGAATTTCCATTATCAAATAGTTGAGATTTTGTGTTGGAATATAGTGGAACATTTTGGGAAATCCACGCAATCCCTTCAGTTGTGAATAAATCTAAATAAAGACAATAATTACAGTTAGAATTGAGTAATGGTGTTTTGATAACCAATGAGAATGAATGTGTGATTACAAGGCGTCGATTCTCAAAAACATAAATTTTATTGGTGAAATGGAATTCGGTTATGTATTGTTGTTCGCCGTGATGTGTAAATCGCTACGGCGCTACGCAAGCGATGGATGACGCTGGGTTAAACTCTGATGTAATTTATGTTTTTTGTCTGAGAACCCACTCCTTGTACTACTAGTATCTTATCAAGTAGTAGCATCGAAAATGCTTATAAATATTTACCTGAAATTCATTCGCCAAGCTTGTACATGCATGTGGCTCGCACTTTATGGCCACTTCATTTCCATCCCGATCTTCGCCTTTAAACACCTTGCCGAAAGAGCCTTCTCCTAGCTTGCAAGTGGCATGATACATTTCCTCCAAAGTTTGCATATCTAAAATGTCTAAATAAAATTGAGAAACAAAAACCCACCATCACATTTTCTATCTATTTGTCCTAAAAGAAGCCGATTTTAATATTTTTATAGAACTACTTTTTAAAAAGGCGAAAGAGTCGCGTTCTTTCTGGCATTTTTTCCGAAAACAAAGCGATAGAAAATAAAATAAAATATGAGCTATAAAGTAGAAGAAATAAGCCACGTTATCGCCTTTTTAAATTTCAAATACATTGAGTTGGATTTTCAGTGCAACTGTATCGAAAATACGAGAGTCATCCGATGTGACTAAAAACCAAGGTACAAAATAAATACGTCGATTTTTTTCTTATGGATACATTTTTCGTTCATTTCCATCAGTGAAAAACGCGTTTTTTTTTTCTTCTTTTTTTCTTTTGCTTCGCACAATAGCATAACCTAACGTGCAAATGCCGATCGAAACGACAACTCTACATACAGATATACTGAAGCGAATGAAGAGAGAACAGAAATAAAACAAAGAGTATAAAAATAATAGTAACCGACAGTAAACACTGCGTCCGTGTATAGTGCAAGTCGCCGTGTTAGCGCACATGTTAACATCTATGTTCATTTGTCCCAGATACTGGAACACAATTTTCATTTTTATTTCTGAAAAATGCATTCAATTTTTTTATCAACAATTCTTGGAAACGCTTTTATTTCAGTTGAAAACCAAAAAAAACGTCTTCACATAAATTATCTACTTAAAGCCAAACAGTTCAGAAGCACAAAGAGGCGCATAATTCATCGTTGCCAAATTTAATGTGACCTTGTTAATTACTTTGTATCCGTTTACATAGTCTAATATTTAGAAAAAGAATGGCCAATTTTAAAATACTTTTTATTATTGTTTTCATTTTCGATCACCGCTTTTATCAATGAAAATATTCGTTCGCAATCATTTTGTTGTTGTTAAAAAAGCTGTTTGTGTAATTTGAGCACAGCGATCGATTAAAAACAATATCACGGACGCAAGGAATTGAAAAAATAAACTGATTTAAGCAATTTTTCGCATTATTTTATGCACTAATGTATGATGCGATCACATTTCGTTTGCCTCTTCCACAATAAATTGATGGTTCACATAATTTGTGAACTTTATCTTGTGTATGATAACGTCGTCAGAATTATAGAAGGAAACACAATTATGCTTGCAAATCGGGAATTGATGCATTTATGAGCGATTGTTAATGATATTTCTTATTTAAATTTTTAAATTATATTTACTATTGAATTATTTGTGTTTTGATCACACCGCGATTGAAAACAAAATTGCGTTAAGAGATACAAGATCAAACTTAAATTAAATATAATACTCACTAGTAATTACAATCAATCACACTTACTCAAGAGAGTACACAGTACATACAAATTTATTCAATGGAAGACAAATCGCAACTGAATCAAAACCTCTAAAAGTAACGTAAATCGAGACGATGCCGCACACATCGACACACCAAAATGCGTTTGATCGAACGTGAATATGTGTGCGAGCAGCGCAACCGCATTAACTTTTATTCTTTCTATTTCGCACACTTCGTCTTTCATGTGTACATTAAGCGAGCTTCTTCGTCATACGAGAAGAAAGAATTGAAGGGTGAATGAAATAGACAAACAACACGGTTTGCGGCCGTATTTAATGGAATGCCACAATGTGTGTGCGATCACATTGGATTGCTTCGCAGCCATACATTTCAGGAAAAAACTTTTAAAAAAATCGACACGATTATTAACTCTGACGCTTCTGAATTCGTTACAGCTGTCGGGGTGGTAAAGAAACGAGAGTAGAGAGACCGAAGCAACCTGAAGGCCCATTTTGCAATGGTCGAAAAGAGTTTCGCTTCGCACAATAGACGTACATAAAGCTCAGATAAACTGAATTGTAAGCGATTTTTTTCCGATGGAATTTTTTTTCGACTATTCGTCGGCGTTAATTTTTTTTATTGTTTCTTTTCCTCTCTTGCTTCGCATAATATACGAAACGGTTGTAACAGGGTAAAAATGTCATTTGACAATATTTATCATTAATTTAGCTCTGTTTATTTTCTCTAAAGGTTTCTAACATGTGGCTTATATCAGAAGAGTACGGCCGAACATATTTTGTAGCGATTTTATTGTTTTTTTTTTTTTTCCTTTTTATTGATTTGATGAATTTATTGTATAAACAATTTTTTACAGTTTACTGTATGCAAAAAAAAATTGCGCAGAGGAACTACTGGAACCGACAGATGCATCTGCTCACTTTAAAAATGTATTTGTCATTAAAATGTATCCTTTGCGCCATTGAAAATGGCGAATTTCGTTTCAAAATTTTGGATTAAATACAGCCAAATAAAATAAGAGTTGCCATTGTCTCACCAAACATTTAGTTTTACTTTGTTATTTTGTATGGACAGAAATCGTTTTCTTTTGACTGAAATTGTTTGAATTGTATGGCTCAGTGCTCTTTGGATATCAACGAATTTTACTTAGGTTCTTCAATCTTCATGACTTAATAGGATTTGAAATGATTTTTGTTGATAAAAGCACGAGGTGTAAAGTTATGAAACCGAGCGTGATTGGTTACGATTTTCTTCTACTTGAAACCGTTTCAAATGAAACGTATTTTTCATCGCATTAAAAGTGGACAGCCCAAGTCCAAGAAACACTTCCCACATGACCGCCTCATTTGACCACTTTTTCACTAATACTTGTTGTTTTCTTGCATTCGTTTGCATAGTAAACAGAATGAATAAAAGACAAGCAAATATAGAGTCAAAGCGGTCATCAGAAATCAGAAGCAATAATTCATCGGCAAAAAATGTGTTGTAAAAGGAATAAAAATAGTAAATGCTATGCGATAGTTTCTATTTTTGTGAAATTCTCATACCGAATTTAGTTTTATTAATTATCATATACATTTTATGTTGATGTCGCAACTTTTTTTTTAATATTTCATATTGATTGCGTTCACTGTTTTGATAATCACCAGTGTCAGAATTACTTAAAAGATTTTGAAATAAATATAAAATGCAATCAGTGCGATTATGATATGAAGGCCTTCGATTAGGCGATCCCAAAGAATTATATCAATAGTTAGTCTTGCAGCAGCTGCATTTGGCCTCCTGTTTATGGCTGCTAAGCGAAGACGGAGTCTTTCGATCTCCGTAGGTGTAAATGGTATCACCATTTCTTCGATCCAATCGATTTGATCTAATTTATCAATGACGATGAAAAATAAATACAGTTAGTTTCACAACACGTGAAAGGTTTTTCGATATAGCAAATTCAATTGAAATACGTTTAAATAAATAGACAATCTAGTCTTCTCTTTCACTCTCAAATAAATAAAAATATCACAATACTTCGTTTGAGTGTATCTTGGCTGTTTGCATCGACAATCGCATTGATTTGAAAAACATCCGTCATGGAAAAAATAACGAGAGTATCTTCAGTTTATTTATCAACCAAGATTGAAATTAAAAGGGGTCTACTTGGCGCCTAACATTGATGCATAAATCTAATCATATTCGGCAATTTTTGTGAGGAAGCAATAATTCAACTCAACAAAATTCGCTTTAAAAAAACAATAGTCAATTTTATTTTCACATTTTTTTATCTTGTGATAGACATAAAAATAAACATAAACAGTAAAATTACATGATAAAGTGCAGTTCACAAAGAAAATATGATCGAAAACTAATATAACATGTAATTATACGTAAAATGTAGTAATCATTAACATGTGTGTATTAGTCAAATTTAGCCGAAGTCGTCTCTGTGCTCGCAAAACTCAGCTAACGCATGATGTCATCGTCGTGTATTAGCTGAAGCAGTTTTTGTTATCAAAAGAAGAAGATGCCCTATTCCAACACACTTGCAAATTATACATGAATCATGTAACATGATATATCCAATAGAACTAATATTAGTGTAAATGTCTTACAATTCGCGCCACACATAAACAAAATTCGGAAAAAATACACACAGTTCATTGAAAAAAGAAAGACCGAGTTTGTATGCTACATCCTGCACTTACCTATATGTTCCACGTTGACTAATAATCGGCAGCTGATTAATAGATTTCTTTTCTCCGCTGTACTCGTTCTGTAACGAAAAGTAAAAACAAACGCATGTATTGAAATGCATTGAAATGTACATTGCATGAAATGCGCGCAACCATTCTGGTTGGCGACAAGTATCATGTATAGCCTCTGTTTGTTTTATATGCCGGCTACATCACTCAATTTTATCGTCCGCAAAAAAAAAGACACAAACAACAATGAATGTCGATAAAGCGTAGAGAACAAAAATAAATCATGTCAAAAGACTCGCACCACACAGACGTGAATCATGTCATATTGGTCAAATGTGTAGCGGTTGGTGGTGAATGTAATGTAAAACATTTGAATGACTGGTTGCTACATAGCACATGCGTTCTCTCAATTTTGATGAACACTAACGGAGAATCGAGAAACGACCTTTTATTTTCATATTTTCCTTTGTTTTTGATCGATAAAAACGATGTGCGTACAAACCATATATTCAAAGCGGAATCACCGAAGAAGAAGAAAACGAATACGTGGTACCGAGTCTATCCAATATCAATTTGACATAAATTACTGGCCAAAAATTATTTTGTGGATTTTTCATTAAAAATATTTATTTTACCGATCATAAAACATTAGACCAAAAGCACACAGCTGTGCGAAGCACGCGTAAGGTCAAACGAATGTCAAAATTCAGATAATATATTGAACTGACTGATTTCGAAAGGGATAAAAAAGAGAATAAAAAAATACTAGAAAAAAACTTACATTCAAATACGGCGATCGCCAATTTTCTGCCAAACGGATCGAGTGACTTTTTATTTCAATTCCGTCTTAAGTCCAAGCGTTATCAAAAATACAAATTTTTTTTTCGCGAAGTCTGTAACACAAATCAAAAGAATAGAGTTTTAAAATTGAAATTATAATTGTT